TCAATCACAGAGCATGCCCACCAGCCCTCTATTCACATCATCCTATCTTGTTAACTCTAAATCTGGCTGGGCACTGTTTATACCATCTGTGTGTCTTTGTGTGTGTGTGTCTGTGAGAGAGAGAGAGAGAGAGAGAGAGAGAGAGAGAGAGAGAGAGAGAGTGGGCTGGTGCATCCTTCTCTCTGATGTGTTTCTGTTATGGTCTTAGCTGCGTGCTTCAGACAGAGATCAATCAAGACAAAGTGATGAAAAACTGGTACAGGGATTGCTGAGAAACGTGCCGTTCTGTGAGAGTTAATCCTTTTGTTTTTGTGGAAACAAGTCCAAGCAGTTGATTTAATGCACCGATGCCGAAGTGTAACTGATTATTCAAGAATTATTACAATCAAATCACCTTGCAATTCACAGACAAGCCTCCTATCAAAAAAGAGACTGATTTAGTCACACTAGGTGTATTTTTTTTTTATCTCTGCAGCGGCCCGCGGTCTCCATCACAGGCCAAGCATTGTTGCCATTGGGAGAAAGAGACCAAGAGCTCTAGTAGTCAAAGGTAATTATCTCCTCCTGTCGCCCACTATGGATGCCTGCTAATGAGAGCTCGACTCGTGATTGGTCGCCCGTGGGTCTGTGGAGAAGCTCGGCTCTTCTGATAGCGACAGTGGAGCGTCGGTGCACTGCAGAGACAGAGTGACCGGACAAGTCATTCATCTATGCAAATGCCAGCCAAGACATGACCACCACCGTACACACACATCCAAGTTACATTAGGCTCTTACTTATCAGCCCTGTACCCCCTGTGAGGTGTGCGTGTGTGAAAATCGGTGAATATGAGGTTGCGTGCATGAATCTTTTGTCTGCATTTATCTTGGAATACTTTCAGTGGAGGTTATAGTTGAAAGAAATAAAGGCACTACATGGGCTGAGCATGAATACACAAGTCAAAGTACAGAATAATTTAATATTTTAAGTGTGATTGTTTTTTTTTAAAGCTGGATCATACCAGCGATATCGGTGTAAATATCCCCACATCTTCAGTAATAAGCTCAGCAGAACTCTACACACTCTACTACTACTGCCTTAGGCCTGAAATGAAACCTAATTTAATCTTGCTCTTGTTTTGTTTTTTAATTCAGTAATCCAAAACAAGGTCAAAAAGCCTTTCATTTCTGGTATGATTGGACTCAAGCAAGCTACTTAATGTGTAATATTTTATGACTGTTTAACATGTCTATTCATACACTGTAATGAAATGACCACATCAGATTTGTATCTATTAGAAACAGTTACATTTTCAACTTGGTATTAATAAAAAGTAATTTAATACATTTTCATTTTACCAGCTCCTCATACGAAGGACCATATATGCTTTTTTCTACATAACCATAGTGTTTAACTACCTCTGTCAACCACTGATTTCCATTTCATTCCATTTCTTTAATCATTTCTTTGGGGTAATGCTTTACACACCTTTAAACACAAATCTATAAGTTCAAGAAAATACATTGATACTAATGCAATTAAATAATCAGTTGTAGTAATAATAATGCAATTATTTTTAGCGAAACATTTGCTGTTATTTTATATTGTCAGTTTTTGATGGTTCAATTACTTTCTTCTGTCACAAGCCAAATATAGCAGAGACTGCTGTACAAATACATTCTCGTAATTGAAAGCACAAAGTGTTTATTTGTTGTTTAAAAAAAATTAATTATTATTGAAATATAGATAATTGAAGGGGTTTATATGCATACTGATCTTAAGCAGTGCTACTCCATATTCTCTCTTATATCTGGGACCAGTAAGCTGTTGCCAGGGATTCAAATATTCCAGGAGTAATTTTATTTCAATTAAATACTGTAAATCTAAATGAGCTAACGCTAACACTGCAAGAAACTGCTCATCAACGTCCCCCGGTAATAACAGCATACAGTTTCTCTCTCACAATGTTTGCTGCATAGCTGAGTTTGGTTGAAATGACTTTGTTGGTGTCCCTCTCGTCCAGGTTTGTCTGCTTCATGTAGTCAAAAACACAATCAAATCTAAAAAGACCACATTTACACACACACATACACACACACACACACACACACACAGTGAAGATGGCTGCAAAATGTATACTGGTCACTCGTATCAACTACGGCAATGGCAGAAATCATCAAAACAAAGCTTCACTTGTAGCTGAAAAGACCCTTTCGCAACCATGATGCAGCTTGATCTCGTTTGATGGCAGACGGTTCAGAAAGACTGGGGGAAATCTCAACAACTAAGAACTAGTATGGTGAGATTAAAATGTCAACTAGAAAACAGTAATAAATAATTATCACTATTAGTCATTATTGAAAAAACTCACACAAACCAGCACATTTACCGTTTCTTTTTAAGGGTGCAACAAGGACACCTTTCGAGAACACCATCTTGTTAAAATAATACTACAAAGTTGATGGTCTTCAATGAGTGTTCTCCAGTGGTATCTCCAGCTAATGATCCACAGTAATACGACTCTATGCGTCCAACAAACTGGCTGAGGTTAAGATTTATAATCTGTGGGCCTTTGTAAAACTGTAGGAGCTCAGGAAAACAAAATACTTCTCAAATCACCAATAACTCACTACAAAGCGCTTTAAATGACACAGTTGTGACTTTGACTCTGTATTTTTTAGGCATTAGATTGTTTGCCAGATAGTGAAGACATAGCCATCTCTTCTCTTGAGAGCACCTCTAACAGCTCACACATTATCTTCTGTGGGTTTTTTCTTGAGACATGATAATATGCTTCCCTTAATGATCACCCCCTTTGCTATAGTTCTACCTAAACATGCCAAGTTACCACCAAGAATGACTTCCATGACCCGACTAAAATTTCTACAAGCAGGGAGTTTGTCTTCATCAACATTGGGGGTGTTGGTATGTGACGTCTTGTCTGCTGTTGGTGGAGGGTTTAGATGTAGTCACAGTGGAGGTTAGAGGCTGCAGAGAAGAGGCTTTTAGCACATGGACAACTTTCACTTAGACTGCTAGTTTACATCGATTAAAGTTAATGCACCACTGGAAACGACATTACCGCATCCATTTTCAGATAACATTAGGATTATTTATTGATTTAACTACACCGTATCGGCATTTTAAGCCATTTGTTAATAATTAAAGTGACATCACGAAAGCAAGCCGAGTAGTGAGAATATTGGCAAAAGTATTTAACAGCTTTTTTGGCAAGTAAGACATGTTTTCCAATACATTATCAAACGAAATTGTGACAGATAATGATGCTTTTGGAGCTTCTCTAATGTGAGGACTTGCTTGTTGTTCAACATATCTCTTTGGGCTTTTGTAACTTGCATGAGCCATTTTTAAATGTCTGATGCATGTAATATTTGACATTTTTTGTACTGGCAAATATAACAGATTTATTGATTGACAAAGAAAAAGAACAGAAGTTGCGGCTAAGTCTTTAAACTCACGGTAAGATTTACCAAACACAATCAAAATGAAAATGACATGTAATTAAAAGTTGAACTATGCATATATATGGTGCATATATACCCTTAGGATTACTTTCTTTCCTCAAGTAATGTATCTCCTGGAGTGAGTAGGTTAACTCTAAAAACACACATGCACTAAAATAAATAAATAAATATAATTATGGCATGATTCAAGGTAACAGCCACAGTGTGTTCCATGGTTAGAATAACAGTCAGAAACCAAACTATTTACCGATCTTTTTTATACAGCAGGAGATAGTAGTAGGTAGTAGGATGCAACTTGATATTAAATAGGAAGTGAGTATAAGACTTTTCCCTTCCAAAAAGTTTATTATAGGTATAATCTTAAACGATTATATTTTACTACAATCAACTGTAACTTTATTTAAAATTTACACAATACATGTGAATAACCCATTAACTAGACTTATCTCTATGTTTGCTGAGAGAGAGACACAAGTACACACGTCTTTTGGCACCAGCTTTGAAAAAAACCCAAATAAATATATACTGTATGTATATATATTTAAAAAAGTCCTCCTCCAGAAGGGTGCAACAAATTTAAGCTGCTTACTGTAAAAACATGAAATAATAATTACAACAATTTTAAAGTGTGATGGATTCTAATCAGAAATGTGTTGTCATGTCTTATTATGTAAGAAAAACAATATTTGGCCATTATGTTGTTTGAACTCTCAAATATCATCTATATGGGCCAGGCTGTAATTTAAAGAACATGCAAGATGTTTAGAAGTTCTCATTGACAATGTGTCTCATAGCCAATAAATACTAATCCACCACCCTAAACTGTGAAATGGTAAACTATGGACAGTATAATCATTCTGTCCATATATAGTTTACCATTTCATAGCACATTTGATATATAGCGCATCCCATTGTGATATCAAATGATGTAGGTGAAAGCAGAAATAGATAATCAACATCTGTGTGTAGAGAAACAATCGTGGCCATCTGCATCTATCCATCCATTCATCTATCAGGAACTAATTATACATCGATAGTTGGCACACTACCAAATAGGATAACTACTGTACCCAGAATGCTTTGCTTAAAATGGCTAATTTGTTGGACGGAAGTGATCTGGCGTTTACTGTTCCCACGTAACTTCGAGCTCCCACCAATTTCAGACGTGTTAAAATCCGTGAAGATCAGTCACTCATTTTGAACGAAATTGTCAAAATGGACAGATATCAGTTTCCCTCTTTTAGTAATATTTGTAAAATAAGGCGACAGCTATTTAGTGCGGCAGTGGTGCAATAAAGTGGATAAAACTGCACTTCCGCAAAATTGATCACTTTTATCCCCAACTGACGACACACATTTTGGCAAAATGCACTTTGCTCAGTAAACATACCACCTCAAAAACTCAATACCATACAAAATGTTGCTATTCTCAGCATTTCCTTCCAGATTGTGGTTGGATGCGGTGTGATATAATGTGAGCTCAGTGAGTCATGCATTGTTCGAGGGTTCAGGAAGGCATCACAAGGTAAACGGTAGGAATGTTGTTTGGGTGTTGAAATGTCCTAAAAGGGGAGAAGAGGATCGATCATCATGAATGAATATATCGATCTACGTTCACCGTAAATTGAAATTATGTCCCATCCCCTTCGATTGCTCTATTTTGCAGAGCTAGCTACGGAAGCTAACGGTTATGTTTTGACAGCTATGCTTGTTTGTATTACGATAGAAGCTAACAGTGGCTAACTAGCTTACTAACCAGCTTTTTAACAGCTAGCTACACAAACAACAAGCCGAGTAACGTTACGTTAATTCAGAAGAGCAACCGTTTCTTCAAGATAACGTTAGTTCATGTAAGTGTAGCTTTAATGTATCTACAATTGAAATACCTTTCAAAGTAACGTTAACCTTAAGTAAAGGTTTTATGACAATTTAGCTAACGCTAGTCACATTTGCACAGCTGGCGTTACTGTTAGCGAGCTAGTTAACTGTCATCAGCACTCTTATCAAAACCACAGCAGCGATAACGTTTTACTGAGTAATGCTAAACAGGCTAGCCATTTCTCAGTAGCATTGATAAAGCCGACTTATTATGGACTAGCCGAATTGCTACGTGCTGTTTGCCCCGTGTAGCATTAACTTCAGAGCGTATTTCTAGAAATTGATATAAATAATTGGTAAAAAATTAACAAATGTCCCCCTGGGGATGAATACAGTATATATCTATCAATGCATATAACGTTATAGCATTCATGCTAAAGCTTTATCAGTAATTGTACACATTAACTACTTTGATTTAATTGTCTTCGAGTGTTGGCACAGCATTGAAAAGACCTGTCAATACATTTGGGACTGATACCAGTGGTCCCAGTCCTGTTTTGAATTATACTTATGGGACTGTGCCTTTGTTTACATCTGGATCACAGGTTGTTCCTTTAAGTCATGCGAATGCTTATTGCTTATGGTAGCCTTAAGTTGTATAGCTGATTGATTTGAAATGGGAATATCTGGTGAACACATTTAAATGAGGTGATGCTAAAAACCTGTATAGCAGAGGTGGAGTGCCCCAGACCTTGAGGTTTAAGGCTTCCTGGCAGTTAAAGTGGGCAGTGCCACCTCCTACCACTGTACATTAATGCTAGCTAAGTGTTGGCTAAGTAAGACAGTAGTCCACCTATGGCAGGATGTCGTGTGCATGTCAATAAGCCTTAAAAGCATCAACTCCAATCAATCTGCTTTAAAAGCAACGACTCCCATCAATGAGCTTTACCGTCGCTCTCCATGAGCTTTTGTTGTCCGGAAGTTTTCCTGTAAGTGCTCAAAGTAGGCAAGGATCTGTTGATTTACATTCTTTTAGATGTGGGTGTGTTTCTATATTTTGGAAAGCTTCCATTTATGTTTAGCTACTTATCTAGGTGACACACATTCCTCCCCTTTTAACCTATGTTGTGAATAGATAAGCATTCTCAATTGTGTTGACATGTACTCTGTGGTGTCTCAGACCTGCTGTCTTGGTGTTCTCACTTGTGTTTGTCTCTGCCTAACCTACAGGTCATGCATGCAGCTGGGCCTCTAGCCTGCGCTTTGTACCATCCCAGCCATTGAGCCAGTGTCCTTCCAGTAGGTGGAGGCTCTTCCTCCCTCTAGCCTCTGTTTCTCCCCACTGCCCCCATCAGCCCCAGAGTTCCCTATGTTAACCCTCTTGAGCATGTTTTACTATATCTGTCTGCGGCGACGCTCCAGGAGTGGGACTCGAGGTGAGGCTCTTACCAGTCGGAGGGCCGTTGAGTCCGGCCAGCGTGCGGTGTTACCGGTCAGTGTGGAGGTGGAGCAGTATGCCAAGGAGGTTCTGGACTTTAGCTCTCACTATGGCAGTGAGAATAGCATGTCCTACACCATGTGGAACCTGGCCGGGGTACCCAATGTCTACCCCAGCTCAGGGGACTTCACTCAGACGGCTGTATTCAGAGCTTATGGGACGTGGTGGGAACAATGTGCCAGTGCTCCGCCACCTTTCCGTCGCACCCCGAAAGGCTTCCACAGCCAGGATTATATTGAACTGGGTTTCGAGGAGCCTGTCTACCCTACAGCAGTGGATGTGCTTGAGACTTATTACCCTGGAACCATTGTTCAGATTCTGGCCTGCTCTCACAACCCCTTCTCCCAGAACCCACCAACTGATGTCAGGTAAAGACAACCATCAATCTAAGAAACCATCATCAGTGATTCTCCTCAGTGCTCCAATAGAATGCTGAGTTCAAGGTTCATTTATTGTCATTCTACAACACAGAGTTGCCCAATGAAATGCAAAAAAACGCAACACAAAACTTGTTTTTATGGTGGAGTACAGAGGATGACTAGAGGAGTCGAGGGTGCTTTCACACCTGTAGTTGGGTTCATTAGGTCCGAACCAATGGACAAAACGAAACATTGTTGCATTTTGGTTCTGATCCGGTTTCCTGTTCACACTGCCTTTTGACAAACAAACCACGAGGAGTAAACATGAGTTGATTAGACAGTTTTTAACGATCGTCACCCTTCATCATCAGGGCCAGCACGTGGAAATCAACTTCCCGTGACTGACACGAGTTTATGCAGCACTTTAACCATTCTGATATACTTGTGTTCTTTGGTGTCACAAATAAATAACTAAACATTATTAGTATTATTAAACTGCAAATGGCCCACAAGTTATGAATAACGACTAGCAGATAGAGACAGCTGGGACAGGGTCGGATCCAAGCACTGCTGTTCTAACTGCTTTTGACCTATTAATCAGGGAAAAACCCCACGCTGACATGTTGATTCGCATAAATAAGTTATATACATGGCCTTATACAGATCAATTATTGACAAAGACCCAACTTTTCACGCCGTCTCGATTCTGTTGTAGGTTCTCAGGGTTTGATTGGCGGTTTTCACACCAGCCCAAACTAACTAGACTATCCAACCGGGGTGAAAACATGCCCAACCAGGAAAGAACCTGCTCTGCAGTCTGTTGTTGATTAACACTAAGAAAACCATGCAATGCAAGCAGGTACGCACAGCGATGAAGTGGAAACTTGAACCCTGGAGACATTACTAGCCTTATTTGAATTATTATTTATTACTTGATACCTGACTTTTTTATTCTGTGTGTGTTTTCTAAAACGCATAAGTGCTCTATAAATAATGTGTATGGCTACTTTTGGAACCACAGTGTCCCAGCAGAGCACTAAATTGTCTGCTATCGTAACAGTGAAATCAAAAGGTGCAAATGCTAGCCTGAAATGTTAGTGATAACCATCAAAAGAGAACACTATAATGCACTTTCCAATCAAACATAGGAAAGCAACAGCAAAAGCTAATATCTGGAAGGTGAACACGAGTCAGTGTGTGATGAGAAAGAGGAATTTGATTGATAAACAGCTTCTGATGACCCTGTGAGGTGCTGCAGAAAAAAAGCACCGGGAACGTGTACAGAAGGTCATTACTTTAGTGGAACCAACCTCATCAAATCAAGTGAAGTTCAGAAGTTACACATTTGTGTCTCTCTGTCTGGCAGAGGCACACTGTAACAAGCCTTGAGGTGCATATTCACACACAGCACGGAAATGAATCCAAATCCCAATCATCCTAATCCGTAGTTTGTGAAATTGTGCCAAATGTTAGTATTCCACAGAGAACTAAAGAGTTAAGTAACTGACTGTATTTTTAGCCGGATTCATGGGCACAGCTGAGTTTTCCAAGAAAATAAGGGTTTGTATTCTAATACGTTTTTGAACATGTATTAAAGGAATTGTCTGTAAACTCATCTCTTCTTTTAAAATCACAGGGCATGCAGAAACTGATTGTTGGACAGTCATACAATTATAGTTAACTCCAGTTCCTTGTGTGATTTAGAAACAGAATAATAAAAAAAGATCCTGTATTTTTGAAACTTTGCTGGCATGGCTTGTTGTTTGTCTGGCACCATAACCGTCTGCTTATGTGGCACTGAGCAGGAATGCAAGGTCATCATCCTACATAGAAATTATTTTCGAATGTGATCGGCTGGTCTGGTGTCCTTGGAGAGAGCCTCGTTAAGAGTACGGATTTGTGACCAGTGTCAATGTGAACATAATGGGACCTTTACCAGTTGCCAAAAAATCTGATGGTCTATTTGTATCCATAACCACAATAATACCACAACCAAGGTATAACTTGTATCTTCTGTAAGTAAGCAGTTTGGAAAACAGGACGGCACAAAAAATATTTCATCACTCCTCATCAACCGTCTTTGATGAGTCGGTGAAGTTGTGAATGCGGCGTGGTGTTGTCCAATGGCAAAGCTTTTCTTCACAGTGGCCATTGTACATTGGATTCAGAGCGTGTGGCACAAAAAACAAGCTTAGGAACACTGGAACAGCAGGTGAAGATGTGAGACTACAGTCAGGGAATGCCATTATTGATTATGGTCGGATGTTATTAGCCTTATAAAAGCATCGTAGTGACACTGTTGAGTTAAACAGATGACTGCGAGTCCACAAACAAAACCGTCTTCTAGGCCTGATTCCAGGCTTTACAGTACAACTTTTTCTTCTGTCCAGGTGGGAGGTGCTGTGGTCGGGGGAGCCCACCAAGGTGCTGACACCCCAGGCACGTCAGTTTTCCCCAAACATCAAGCACATCAACTTCCCCACCAACCTGCTGCGTCTGGAGGTCAACAGCTCTCTGCTGGACTACTACACCGAGCTGGACGCTGTAATCCTGCGCGGGGTGAAAGAGAGGCCGATGCTGGCCCTCTATAAGATGCCGATCATCGACATAAATGACCTGAGTGACAGCGATGAGGAGCTGTCTGATGTGGGGGGTCCATTCAAGCAACAGAGGACAGGCAACGGCTACTTTGACAAACTGCCCTATGAGGTGATTACAGACCTTAATGATGTGTACAATGAATCACTCGGGGTAAAAAAAAAAAAAAAGTAGATGCACACAACTTTTTCTTTATAAGAATATTTTTTTCACCAATTGATCCCTGTAATCCCTTTGCTGTATTTTGAGAAGTATGGTGGTCCCATCATACTACTGGCACCCACATTTGTAGTAGTGGATGTTATTAAAGGCAAGTTATGTTTGCATTCAGCGTTGCTCATCAAAACTCAGTGTGTGTGTGTGTGTGTATGTTTGAGTTCTAACAAACCCGTTGGATGCTTTTCCTTCCTCGTAAGTCATTTGAGAAGCTCGTGTTTTTAAGTAGAGGTCCACTGATCTATCTGCTGCCGATCAAAACCAGAAGGTTTTCACCTGGTCGGCCATGAGCGGTGAATCAGTTTCGCGTTTCCGATTTTTCTTTTTGCCCGACAAAGCCGCCACATCATAGTTTTACGTCAGCACACGGCGGCACAGACCCTGCCTGTGTCGGTGAGCGAAGAAGACATGAAGTTCACAATTTGTCACTACTGCAAGTCCAATACAAACCGAGGTGGAAACACCTCACAACTTAATTTGTCACATTATATTGTAATTCATTTCCATGCATGCTGTTCAATGTATCTGCAGCTCTTTTGCCGACAGCATGGAGCTAAATCGCTAACATTAGCGGACGTTACATTGACGTGCATGGCGCGTTCCCACTGTCCTCCGCTATCACGTGTCCCAATGTAATCTCATAATATGTAGTTTTTGGCGAGGAACTTGAATGAAAACAGTTGTTTGAAGGAGATGTTTTCACGGCAATGTTTAACTTATTAGCAGTAGCTCTAAGCAGCTTATAATACATAATTAATAATAATATTGCCAAGATTCATTTTTAATAAAAGCAAGTATTTAAATACAAATACAAAATGTATTTCCTAATCATTTGAATTGCGAGTTTTCTGCAAATAGCCACTGCAAATGATAACAAAGTAAAAGTCACTGACTCTGGAGGTTGACATTATTTTTCGGGACAGTTCTGGGATGGTGGTAAACAAAGAGTTGTCTGGAGCCTTGCTGTCAATTCTAGTTCTTGGAAAGGAAATTGGTATCGACAGGTCAGACTTTTATAAAGTTGGAAATCAGAATTGGGCCAGAAAATGGTAAGTTCTGCATCGTTTCCATCCATGTTTACGGGTTTCAGTCTTCCTCTTCTCTGCCCTTTGTTGGTGCATTTCAGTGTTTCTTGGCATTTTACCGCCACCTGTAGATCAGTGGAATAGTGTGGGAAAACCATTGGGACCCACTCATATAAACACACTGCTCCACAGCACTACTAGGGGTCAAAAACTCCTAGCCAGTGCCAGTTAATATCAAGTGTCTGGGTGCTTTTTGCATTAAAGTATGAAAAGGAGCAACTTGAATTTCATCGCATAATGATATTAGTAGGAACATTACAAATTTACAGATGGATAAATCACAACTGTAATGCTAATTACAAGGCAGAATAATAAATATTTACACTACCAACAGCAAAAAGGCCGACATGCTTGGGCGTCAACATGTCTGCGTGACAACAACAATAAAGGGTAACTTCAGTATTTTTCAACCTGCACACTATTTTCACATGTCTATGTGACTAATCGGGCCAACAAATTTTGAAATTGTTGATTATGATCACAACTTACAAGAGTGTGTATATGTACGTTGTATTTACAAGTATTCCACACAAACGCATGAACATTGTGGCTTGGACCCATTTCTGACACGTGATCTCATATGCAGTCACGGACACGGAGTCATTTTCATGCCACGCAGACGTATCATGTTGCTTCAAAACACCGGCAGTATGCTTGATATTCCGTCTCTTATCTCTGCCCCAAACCGCTGCCATTAACAGCAGTCTTCACAACCGCCGTGTGCTTGTTTCAGAAACACAATATAGCTATTATCTGTCAGCCGATACCCGCTTGAACGGCGTGTATTGTTAATTCACTGCAACTTACACAAGCACAGTCGTCCTCTCTCTTTGAGAGGCGCATGAACACGGTGCAAAACAAGCCGGCTCACCTCTCCACTGATGCTGCCATCAGTGCTTTGTGTCCCAGATAAACACTATTTTGATCTGTCTGACAGAGGGGACGCTATTAACATTCTCCAGACTGCTCTGGTATCCTCTGTTCTCTAATTTTCCTTTGCTTTCTGCTACGTTTTCCTACCAGACCTAACAGTCTTGTGTTTTGTCTGTCCTCTTTTCTTTTGTTGCCTTTCCCCCCCTCCTCCCCCTTATCTTCCTTTCTCCTCTCTTACCCCTTCTCCCCATCTTCCATTCGTAGCTCATTCAGCTGATACTGAGCCACCTGACCTTGCCAGACCTCTGCCGTCTGGCCCAGAGCTGTAAGCTGCTGCACCAGCACTGCTGCGACCCGCTGCAGTACACCCAGCTGAGTCTGCAGCCCTACTGGGGCCGGCTGAGTGACACCTCCTTGGGACACCTGCAGGGCCGCTGCACCCTCCTCCAGAGGCTCAACCTGTCCTGGACCGGCAACCGCGGAGCTCTCACCCTGACCGGCTTCAGCAGGTCAGCCTGTCAGCGGGCTAGAGAACAGGGACATGACCTTGGAAAACTTGCAAATAGTCACAAGCATTTGTTTTGAGGGAGGGACATGCTGAGACAAAGAAACGGATTGAAACTTCTTTCTTTAATTCATGGCAAAAAGAAAGTAAGAGATCATGTAAAAGGACGTGAGCCTTATTGTAGGTTGCTGATGTGTGATGCATTTGTTCCTCTCTACGTGCTCTCATGCATTTCCCTCTCCATCTATTCTCCCCCTCAGCTTCATGAAGAGCTGTGGTCTCAGCCTCGGCTGCCTGGAGCTGTCATGCTGCCACTTCCTGAACGAGGCCTGTCTGGAGGTCGTCTCTCAGACTTGTTCTGGGCTGCAGGAGCTCAACCTGTCGTCCTGCGACCGCCTCCACCCGCAGGCCTTCGCACACATCTCGAAACTAACACGCCTCCGCAGGCTGGTGCTCTATCGGACCAAGATAGAGGTAGGCACGGTCAACAGTGTGTCTGAAAAACCAAAATCCCGTCCAAATTGGCTCATGATGTGTTTGTGTCCCAAATGGCTGCCCTGGTAGGTTGTAGTTTTAAGGTTGCTCGGTTACCTTTTTTCGACAAGGCTACATTTGTTTTTATGACGATAAGCAAACTTCATCTGCTGTGATATGGTTGAAAGTCAGCAATTTTAACAGTGGTGTTGGAAGTATTTTTTGAGGTTTGATTTTGCTTTGTTTGTTATCTACTGTGGCAATTAATGTAGATAGAGTACATCTACCAGGTACTGTACCTCCATCCACTGTAACAACTCTGATGTAAGTTGGTCGAGAGCACAACAAGCAAAAAATCATCACAAGACAGTAATAAAGATCAGATGCTAGGCTAATTAACATACAGATGGATAAATCACATCTGTATGTTAATTACAGGCTTTTTTATCTGCGACTGTTTAGAACAAAACTGTTTCTGCTCGGTAGCTTGCATGAGTTCTGGTGAACCAAGAAACGTAAGCATGTCTCCAGTAAAATAATGTAAGCCTAGTCGTAACAGACTGGTTTCCAACCTTTTTAAGCTTTTGAGCCTTTACAGTCGAGTGATGTCTACTCACAATCCCTTTGCCACAGGTTGCACACAGTTGGTCTTTGAGCTGTGAGCAGTTCAACCAAAGACTGATGTTCCCTTTTCAGATTGTTTCACTTTGATATTTTTTTTTACGTCCTGGAGATTTTATCAAAGAACAAATAAAGAGGAGAAGAAATGTTTTGATTCTTCATTCATATCAAGTGAATCATCTCAAGACCCTTCAGACTTGTTTCGTTCCCTGCATGTTAAATAGCTTCAGCAACAAGAAAATAGTTTATAGTTAATGTTTGACTTTTAGAAACCCTGCCCTAAAGTTGGACTAATGATCTCCCCATGCTGCTTATTTGTTGACAAGTGTTGTGGGTTGGACGTAGCGCATTCCATGTTGTTGTCTTTTGAGATGAACCGAGTCAACTCTGAACCAAAGGGGTGTCTTAAAGACGCGTACTGCATGCGTGTGTTCAGGTTCATGCCTGCCTTTCGTGTGAAAACAGCTGTATTGTGTTTTGGTGTTACACCTCAGCGTTTCTCCGGCATTCGTCATGTTTCAGAGCGCCGTGGTGGGCAGGAGGCCGTGTAGAGTTTCTGCGGTGGAGCCAGGCAGCGTGCTGCAGGTTGTTTATACCTGGGCAGACAGAGCGAGCTGTGTGTGTCTGGTTGAGGCCCTGACATCTCAGCTGTCATTACCCTGTCACTGCTCTAATTAAATGGCTAGCTCGCCCCGGAGAGAGACATTTATAAAGATGCCAGCGACAGACTCGAGCACACACACACACACACACACACACACACAAAAGTCTTTCGCTTTCATGTCTGACACTTTCTCCTGCCACTGAGGTACATGTGTTGGCAGTTCCCATGTCTCTATCCTAGCTGCAGTGCCACTGGAGAGGTCTCTGTCCTCCCGATGCTCGACTCTGTGAGGAGATGTAACAACTAGCTGTTGGGCCGTATTACATTTCTTTAAATACAGTAAGCGTTATCAGAGTGCCCCAGGCAGCAGACAGGAAGTCACTTAGGAGGAACTCTGGATGACATGACTGGATCTGTTACTGTTATTTAAACACATATTGGTTAGTATTTGAATGTATACATTTTTGATCCACACTGGGATGTCTGGGAGTTTGTTTGTTGGTGAGCTGTTAAATACCATCAGTTGTTTAAATTAAGTCTTTTCTGTGTTGTTCCATTGTTCCCTGATTTGTTGTGATGTCCTGATTTGCAAGCAGTAGGTCCTTAGATATAACAATTGTACCAAACTGAAGGAGAAATAAAATGACAACTCTGCATCTTTCTTGTCTTTCTCGTTGTTGTCCTCTGCAGCAAACGGCGATTCTGAGCATCCTCACTTTCTGCATAGAGCTGAAACACCTCAACCTAGGGAGCTGTGTGAGGGTGAGCACGTACATGCACAAACACACACAGGAAGAAGTCCAAATAAAGCACAGTCTGTGGTCTGTTAACTACAAAACCATCCAAAAGATGCCAGAGACACCAGTAGTGTAGCTGAACATAAAGACTGGAATCAAGGCAGCCTGGCTCCATTCAAAGGTAACAAGATCTGCCTATCAGCAACTCTAAAGCTCACCAAGTAACATGTTATGTTTTGTTTGTTAAATTTATACAAAAGTGTAAAGCAAACAGCAAATATTCATTTTTACACTTTGTTTTTTGTACAAATTGAACGAACAAGATGTAAAGTGGCATTTGGAGTTGTAGGGGTGCTGGTCGGAGGATTTTGGCTAGTTGGTTCAAGTCTTAATGCTAAGCTAACCTCATAGGCTGGTGGCTGTGGCCTTATGTTGAAGAGATGGATGTGAGAGCGTATTGATCGTCTCATCTAACTTTCTGCCAGAAAGAGAATGCATGAATCTCCCATAAATGTCAAACTGCTCTTTTTAATGATTTTATTCTGGACAGGCAAATATGTTGACATTAAAATATCGCATCATGTTTAATATCATACATTAATTAGAATAAATATGACATTATAGTAAATATCCAGTGTATCATGGCGATAATGGTGGCGCAGATTTTTCTAAAAGATCATTTAAAAAGAAGGGAAAATTCACCCCAAACATATTGTCCTCATTCATTTTCCTCTAATTTGCAAACTCACACGGTCTCTGACTGATTGAGTGACTCGGTAACTCACCCACTCACTTTGTCACTAGCCTAAGCTGACGGATATTTGATGCCGATTAATATGTAGCATGTGAGAAAAGCCGAAAGGAAATTCCAAATTTCAGTAGTTTCTTCTGTTGCTCTTTCTTAGGGTATAAATGTCATAATGTGGAACTAGAAAGGTGCACTTAATGCAGCAGCAGCGTGCCTCTGCATACCTGTGTGTACTGGTAGTTCCGTTAGCTGTCCGCCAAACACACCGCAAACTCTTATCCCCCTACTGTGGGAGCAGATGGGAGATTCGGAGATGCTCTGCATTCTGTTACGCCTTGTGGGATCTGGCTGCTGCTGTTGCATGTGCGTTAGCATGTCGAATATGTTTCTATTCACATAACCTACAAGAATGGAGCAATGCCGACGCACCATCCTTGTCTTGTACACAACTCTCTCTCCATTCCTGTTGTAGCTGACTGGGAACCCACAGGCGGGTCTGCGCTCGTCATACTGTGACCGACTCGCATGCTATCCGCTCGTTGTGCTAACGGCGTACGGCTAAAAGTTTGTGAGCTTTTGGTTCAGCGTTGTGTGCATTAATCCGCATCCCATGTATTCTGTGTGCGTCTGCATGCACCGGACTGTGACCCCCCCCGTGCCATGACTGTTCGGTATGAATACATCAACCATTACAGCCCTAATTTACAAATCATGTGCTCTAAATCAATTGCAACTTTGAGGCTGCTGCTGCAGGGTTGCATACTTTGAGGTTCCGTTTTAAAGCTGATGTTAACCCTCAAAAGGCCCTCCATGAAACAATAAACAGACTGTTGCTCTGCAAATGTTGCATACGATGGAGAGGGTGTGAATAGTTTTTAACTGCTGCCTGTCTACTGCAGATTGAGGACTATGATGTTGTGGCCAGTATGCTGGCTGCTCGCTGTCGCTCACTCAGCTCGCTGGACCTGTGGCGCTGCAGAAACCTGACTGATCGAGGCCTGGCCGAGCTTGTCTCTGGCTGCAGGTAAGACTGACACATTATGCATGTAAACACTTTCCATCCTGCAGCTGTAGACCACAGAGGCAAAGCAGAGCTTATCTGTTTTCAGTGTATTTCTATATTTAGTGGAGTGAGTCACCCCGGTGCTCTCCTGCATGGTCTGTGGTTCCTCAGGATGCTGGAGGAGTTGGACCTGGGCTGGTGTCCCACGCTTCAGAGCAGCACAGGATGTTTCCAGCACCTCGCCCGCAGCCTGCCACGCTTGCGCAAACTCTTCCTCACCGCCAACCGCACCGTCTGCGACTCAGACGTAGACGAGCTGGCGGCCAGCTGCCCCTCACTGCAGCACCTCGACATACTGGGTAAGCTCTTACCTCACACATGTCTGGATGAATGTTGATGCATAGAAATGAGCCTGCTGATCGATGGTTCGCTGACAACCGAGAGGAAGACCAAGAAATAAATGTAGGTGCTTGTAGGTGAGGTGCGGTCCACAGCTGAACACAGTGTCGGTAGCACTCAGTGGGACCCTCTCTTCTGCGCTCCGGATGTAGGAAATGTGATGGGGAGACAGCGCTGATGAAATATTGATCAGAATTTGGCTTATGTCTATAACAGTTGATCAAAGATCTTCAAGTAATGTGTGATATGCAGTGAAAATAAATGTGTGAGTGCGATGCCTCTGACATTTAATGGCTTCAAATCACCCAGAGTTTCCGTACAAGTATGTTTTTATGGATCACAAATTTTGCATTATTGTTTTGTATTATGAAAAGCTCTTTGTAATCAATAACGGCTTCATACACTTTTTGTTATAGTACCAGTACCTCAGCAGTGTACTTCAGTACAGAACAGGAGGGAATGTATCTGGTTACTTTTATCTCCGACAGTAGTTTGGTAAAATGTAAAAACTCTCTCCAACTTTAAACTCAGTACTTTTACCTCCAAACTGTACTTAGCTGAAGTACTTCAGTACATTTATTTACTGTGAACTTGACATTAAACTGCAGTTCACTGTTTCACACTTCAGGTTCCGCTAAACAGAAACTCTCAGCCCTGCTGTGTGTTTAGCTCTGTTAGCTGTTAGCTCCATTAGCCAAAAACACTAACAGCTAATGACAGTAACTATAGTAACATTAAGAGGCGCTACGTTGTAGCCAACACTCGGTTCTGTGCAGTTTGTCATGTGCTAAGCGATTGATCCCCTTTCAGGCGTACGCCTGGCAGAGATAACAAGGGACTCTGTCAAAGAAGCATGGCAATGTGTTTGCATGTCATATGTGCTCTCTGTGTGTCTATGTTCCTTGACTTGTTTTCCCCCTGGCATTGAAGTTTAAGACAGGAATGAATACATTTTTCTTTTCCATTACCTATTTCTTACATAAAATTGCATTGGATCCCACATTCAGTTATTGTACATGTACGATCATTATTACTTATTCATACCACTCACTGATTACTTGGCCATACAAACTGATCTCTCTTCAGTGATTAAACAAAACTCCGTTTTCTAAACGACTTGATTTATTTGTGATTTTGCATCGTCACCATCAAAGCATCGCGGTGCATTTGACGCGTCTGTGGCATATCCCAAGTTTGCATTTGTGAATTTCTGAAAAACTCAAGTTTTCTGCAAACAGAAGCCTAAATAATATGAATGAAATACCGCTCACTAAGCAATGTTGCAGCAGCACCCCACCGCAGTAGCTGCTGTGCACAAACACTATGGTTCCAGTTGCGTAAGGTGATGGGCTTGGCAGCACAATAGCGTGACAGTGTGTTATTCAGGCTGATTATGCTGATGTGTCAGTTGTGCTACAGTAGTTGGGTTGGTGTGTATGGGGGAGAGTAACTCGAGTGGTGCAAGGAATAAACATGAAGCTCATTATTTGAGTTTTGACTCTTTTATATGTAGAAGTAAGCGGTGCTTGAAGTGGGGGAAGAAAAACAAGCGGCAGTGTGTATCGGCTGGTTTCAGCAATCATCATCACATTCTTAATTTTGACAATAAAATAAAAGATACTAGGAGGTGGTCGGAGGTCCTCTCCCAAAAAATCTGAAGGTTTATGACTTAAAACTATGCAATTACACATTATTGTGGACCATTATTATAGGTTAATATAGATAAAGCTCAAAAAGCTTTAAGAAAAACTTGCTATAGTTAAATTATTATTTTACTATTTACACATATCACAGCCTTTGTCTGAACATTTCATTCTGCTGAACATGTTTGATTTGTAAAATCACATCCTGTAATATAGAGAAGAGTTTCATTAGTTTTCATAATTCATTTTTAGATAATTTACTTGCTTTATTACTTGCTCTTTCTCCCCTCTGTTCATGTTATGTTTTAATAATGTATCTTCTCGTCTAATGTTCAGGTACGCGGTTGGTGAGTGCTGCCTCACTGAAGAAACTCCTCCAGTCCTGTCCACGACTTCTGCTCCTGGACGTCTCCTTCTGTTCGCAGATAGACATGCGGGTCGTCCAAGAGCTCTCCGGCCTCTTCCCCAATGTGGCCATCAAGAAGAGCTTCACTCAGTGACCCGAGCGTTGTCTCAGTCCGGATGAAGTAAGAGAGAATTACTCGCCCGCAGACACTGCCCCAAAGTGAATAAGCGGCAGGTCAGATGTTGGAGGAGATAGCTGGCCCGCCTCTGTATCACAGACATCTTCTTTTAGCGGTCTTACAGACCGCAGCAGTTGAAGCGGGTGAGGAGGTTATCTGGATTAACTGGCTGAACACAAACAATTACAGACTTCCAGTCACAGGATTATACAATGTGAGACTTTTTTGTTATTCTTTTTTTTTTTTTTTTTTTTGGACACTTGAAATCAGGGTTGTTGCAGTAAAACTGCTTCATCTTCCCAGAATTGGAATCCCCACTTATGTATTGCCAAGCAACACTAGGCTAGGGAATAAGCCACTGGATGCAAAAACCGAAAACGTTTGTGAGCACTCCTCCCTTGATCATCTTATTAGGACAACAAGAAGGGTGTGAAACACGCCCTTATTGGAAAAAGTTTGAAAAGCAGCAGTAGGTTTTGTGTCAGCTGGTATTGTGATTAAAGATCAGGGCCTTGGCCAGTGCCTTCTCAGAATGTGCAGCAATCATGCTGGCTGTTTTAATGCATGGGGGGTCATTCTGAAGGCATCTGCCAACATCAAGCCAGTTTGATTTGATTATAAGAGATCATACTTGATGCTGATGTGTTAAAGGTGAAGGCAAAGCCTTATTTCACACAGGGAACTGTGCGGACTCAACTCAAAACTTAGAGCAAATATCACAAGTTATTTGTTGCTGCAAACTGACTGAAGAATCATACATGTTGAACCTGAGATTCCTTGATCACGAGTTCTCATACGTATGTGAGAACTTGTGAAAAGCATTTGTTTTAATTTGCACATGTGCTAGGAATAACATAAGTAGTAAAAACACCCAAGGCATAACATCAGCACAGGACTGGCTGATACATTTGAAATGCAAACTCTGAGAAGTTGAACAGCTTGACAGTCTGAAACCCAAAGATATAAAATAATAAATGATATAAAAGCGAGAAAAGAAGCAAAATGACTATTTTCTAAATTATCCCAAGTGTGCGCATAATTGTCGATTGACTAATCAATTAATCGACTAATCGTTTCAGGTCTAATTGTTAATGTCAACCAGATGATGCAACAAAGTCATTAATAAATCTTGTGATTGCACAATATGAGGACTTCTCCAACCACGATATATGTGTTGTATACAGTATATATCTATATATATATATCTATATATATATATATATAGAGATAGATATAGATATATATAAATTAGGAATGACTTTAATTTAGGTCGCGGCATGGTAAGAGCCTCCCTTATTGAACAAATGATGCAAGACCTCCGTTAAACTTAACTTTCGACTTTTGTTGAATTAAATCTGTGGAGAAAGTCTCCAGATCTTAATTAAGTAGCTGGTCCGGCTCAATTTCTGTTTAAATCTGCCCTTTGAACCTAACAGGGTGTTTAGAAGTGCCTTTCACACAGGACGTGGTTTGCACTGCGCTCTGCACCGGGTTCAGCGCACATTGCGGCGCGATGTGCTGCGCCCACGCTTTGCTCGACATTGGACATAATGGGTTTCAGAGCGCAGTGGTGTTCTGTGTGAAAGGCCCTTTATTGTTTCGTTGGTTATGAAAGAATCTTTTCAACAATGAACTCTGGCCAAGTAAGGACAAAAAAAAATACAAAATCAGGTCCGGTTTTTAGGTTGGCCAAGAAGATAATTGAATTGCTAATTGTGTTTGCTTAGCTTAGGTCATACCGAGCATTCTTTTGGTTAGGTATTCTTTGGGCTGTGTCATTTTAAGGGGATAATGAGTGAGTTTTGGCTCCAAAGATGAATAGTTATGTTTGAAAGTCACCGGTTTCACAACGCTTTCCTGATGATGCATGCTTTTCCTGTTGTCTTTCACACTGAGCTGTCTGTCACTGGCGTTTGACTACAGCCACCTCCTTATGTATTTACCTACCAACACCAAGCTTCACCGATGTGAAGGAGTGCTGTGGATTCAGTGGGGGATAGTATGTGCAAACACTCTATGTGACCTCAGTATTAGTCCTGAAACTCAGGGGTTTTAATATTTCATCTGGTTTTAGTTTTTTTTTTTTACATGTATTTAGTTCCAGAAACCAGCAGAAGATCTTTACAGTCCGTAACGCCAGACTGAGTGAGCTGTGAGGTTGTCTGTAGTCAGTGTTGCTCTTAAACAACAAACACACATAGCACAGATGTAACTGAGACAAATGTTAGAGATTATTGTGGAATGTTGCTGTAATTGTATGATTGTGATTATTTAATTTGTGTAACATATGAAGCCACAATAGCCACGTGGCAGAAGTGCTTGAAATGCATTTATTTTTTCTTTTCTTCTTTTCTTTGACGCACATGCTCCTGGTCAATATTTGTGCCTTATGCTCCTGTGTGAATGTGGTGTGATGTCCATGTGCTGTAGGTTGTAGTGAAGTGCTTCGCTTTTATGGCCTTCAACCAAAGTAGTGCGCAGACACCTGCTCTTTAATCCCACCACTATATTTGACCACTTTAAATGCCATATACTGTATATCCGCCATGGTAAGTATTATGCAAAATTATATTTATTTATACCTCTCTGTGTGATGTATAATGTTATTTAAACTATATTACGTTATCCTTATATACATAAACAGTACTACACATTTTGGGAAATACTGTTTTTGTTTTTTTGACCCATATTAAGAGGAATATATCAATATAATCTGACATCATTCAGTACGTGTCCAGCCTAGCTGACCACAAAGACTGGAAATGGGGAAGCTGTTCGCTTAACTGGAGAGAAAACACGTTTCCCAACAAGAACAAAGTTCTCTTATATGTTGATTGTTGAACACATGCCAAAAAAAAAATGCAATTTGTTAAAAAGCTTTTAATTCATCCAGCATCGCAGAAGTTGGGAGAAGTAGAAGAAGTTAATATTGGCCAAACAGGTTGTGAACACAGAACACTGCAGTGAACGAAACACACGGTTTGTGACGATAGAATCGGAAGCTGTTGGAAGCATATTTGTTTTCATTTGAGACCGTGCAGTTCAGCTACTGCTGATGACACCGAGGTCAAGTCCTGTTGGTATGTTAAAGGGGGGGGGGGACTTGGCCTTCTATCAGTAGAGTCAAATTACGTAAAGTGGGTTTTCAAATGCTGATTCTGATATTTTTGAGTGTAAATCTTTAGATGTCTGCTTTTAGACAAAAAAAAAAAGTCAGTTTTGTGTTTCCCAGCAGAATGTTGGAGGAAGTTGAACTCATGTATCGATGTATTTCTAAAATACCGGCTACGGTCTTGATGCTATCAGTCTTCCTGCTTCCAGTCGTTGTGCTAACCGAGGCTAAACATGCCCCAGATCGATGACTGTGCTGGGTGCAAAATATTTATCAGCCTTCTAATCGGATTATTATGGGTTTGATGGGAAACCCCAAAATGCTGGACTGGCCCATTAAAATTACATTTATGTTTAAATTGATTTATTTTCAGTCTTGAGTTATGTTTTAAACAGCAATACCAGCCCCCCCCCCCCCCTTTTTGTTGTGAAGGCCACATGTTTGAATGGACGGTCACTGTCTGCAGCTTGGTTCAACACCTCCCAATATCCGTCTTGCTTTAGCTCCCGACGTCGAGCGAGTGGGATGGCTCCGCTTCTCTGTTATGAATCTGCATTCTTTCCTCTTCCCGCCCCGGATGTGAGCTCAACCTTTGTGCCATTGGTAGGACATGCAAATGTGCTCCCTGTGCTGCAGTATGAAAGCCACTGCTCTGTGAAAAGATTGTGCCTCTGTCATGATGAAACTGGGTGCTTCACTTTCACTAGATTTTAAATAAACTGAATGCTGATGACTGAACGAGCAGACTCTGTGTCTCTGTTGAATGTTTACGGCCCTCTGATCCTGTGAGGACATGGATACAATAAGAAATGTTAACGTATCAACAAAGTGTCGACATTGCTAGAATTAAGTCGCTAATATCCCGTTACTCTTCAGTGAACAGTACGTCATCACCGACAAAAGAAAGGAAGATTGTGTTATTACTGTACCATGCTGAGGCGTTATAAGTAGCAGCCATTATTCAGGATGACTGACTGGATGGTAGTGGCGGAATGATCCTCTCTGCCATGTTACAGTCTATTAATACCACAGAGAGAAGTGACATTAGCTTGTCTTCTTAACGGCCTTTTAATGAATTGTTTATGCCTAGTTTAATGATGTATATTGTGGCCCTGTAATGTGCCCTAATGACGGAGAACGAGGCGGCCTCGGCTGAAGTATTAATTTGGACTGCCTCCCCTATGATTATTCCTCAGCCAACAACACCGCTGCTCTTGGCTCTGCCGCTGCGTGCGAGAGAATGGATGCAGACGTGATTCATGGAGGCTTTCCGCTCTGCGCTACCGCTTGATTTCTTGCTGTCACGCTCCTCTATGAGGCTGATGTATCCAAGGGGGAGCCACAGCAATTAGTTCAGCTTTTTATTTGTCTTTCAAGAGCGTACAGACGAAGCTTGATTAATCTGCAGGGGGAATATATGGATGGGAATATTGTTCCTGAATAATAAATCCAGCATTCAGATGTAAGCATGGGAAAGGTTAGGGGGGCTGGCACATGCACTTTGCTTACTTTCTTTCCTTTTTTCTTTCTTCCCTTCTATTTACAAACCAGATGAGTGACACCAGAACATACCTTTACAAATATGGCAGCAGGTGTAGTAATTGTACTCTCTTCAGTGAGACGCATGTTGTGGTCTGTCTCCTCTGAGCCGTCCTCATCAGGCTGGGACTCGACAGGCCACAGACCTGCCTGAGGGAGGCCTCTCTGTGATACCCATCATTATGTGGCTTGGTGTTCCTTCTCTAGTTTCTTGACTTCAACTCTAATAATGAAGACATCCCTGTCGGTCCTCGCACTGCTGTCTAAAACGTATTATTTATGTTTTGTATATGAGTATATTAAAAATGTCAGCGCTGAGTCCCTTAAACCCATCTAAATACGTCAACTGATAGGATGCTTTTGGAGGCAGCAGTGATAGGCGATGTTTCTTTGGCCGAGTTTAAGTTCGTGAGGATTTTCATTTGAAAACTTTGTTGAATTGTGATACCTTGCTGTAATTACTGTGACACTACAGAAAATTCGGAATCCTGATCTGATGCTAGTGGTGCTGGTATAGCGCTAGTGTTTCTAAAAATGTAGACTGACAACACCTCCGGTAAATTAGGGGGCAGTATGCAACCTCAAAAGCAATGTTCAAAAAGTCATAAAAAATAAGTAATGAAAAAATCCAAGTATATTATGTATAGTATGTTAAAAAAGTGTTTGAAAAGTAATAGTATAATACATCAAAAAAAGTCGTATCACAGTATTTGGAATATGATTTTAAAAAGTCACAGCATAGTATGTCTAAAAAATCATTAAAAAAAATCAGAATAGAATGTTTAATGAGATTACGATTAGATAAGATGAGTCGTAGTATAGTATTTTGAAAACAATCATTGAAAACTGATGTTAAATTATATCTCAAATAGTGATGTCATGTAAGTTAGAGTAAGTTGGAGTATGTGGTATGTCTAAAAAAGTAATTGTATAGTATGTTTGAAAAAAGTCATAAAAAAGTCTAACTATATTTTGTAAAAAAAAAAAAAAGTCATGCTGTATTCTGTCATGTATGTCATAACAAGCATGTCAAAAAAAGTAAGAAATAAGAAATAGTATAGTGTGTCGAATAAAGTGATAGTATAGCATGTTGAAAAAAGTTATAAAAAGTCATGGTGTAGGATGTCGAAAAAAGTCATTAAAAAAACAGTATAGCATGTCGAAGAAATCATAAATAAGTCATATTATAGTATGTAAAAAAGGTAATATGTATAAAAAGTCATACTTTATATGACTGTATAACATAGTATGCCATAAAAAATGTCTTGAAAAATATAATATAGTATGCAATAAAAAATAACTGTCATTGTAAAGTATGTAAGGTAAGTAAATATACAGTACATATACTGAATACTGAATGGACATACACAGACTCAGTGATCATGTACAGTATGCACATGTAAAGTCTCTATACCTTCTATACTTCAATGATTAGGATTTATATTCACAGTGACAGATGATATGCACATATTACAAAACAAGTTGTGCATTATAAACAGTAAAATAATAATCTATGATGGCAGCAGCGGATATTTTGGTGTAGGAGGGTTATTGACAGTCTATGACTGATGTGAACTGTGCATCAACGTGTTCTACAGTCTGGGATCTCTTGCAGGCGGTGGTGTACGAGATGTTGGGCTCATAGTCTCTTGTCATCCGATTCCTGAGGACGTCCATCAATGCAAATCCTGCTGTTTGAGGTTAAAAGGTTCTCTAGATGTCCTCCTTGATGTCTGTCTGTTTGTTTCTGTTTTTATTTATTTATTTATTTTACTGTTACAATGTTCTTCATCCAGTTATGAGTTTGGTAGTAAAAGCACATTCATGAACTCATTTCATTTACTGCCTGGGTCTGTTTGTCAGACAATGCCCCCTTTTTGATTTATGCAATTGAAAATCGTATAGATATAAATGTGATGCATTAATGCATTGCTTTAGTTGCATTAAAGTGAAGAGTTTATTACCGATTGCTGGCAACTGACATGACACGTTTTCTTTTTGCCATTTGCCAATTTTGATGTACATTTATTTCATTGAAATGTTCAGGAGATAAACAGTTTACATACTGTACGTACAGTTCACATTAACATACTGCATTTCATGTGGCAAAGTAAATACTTTAAAGATTTCTCGTTCAGCCTGAACCATCTGTCTCCTTCTGAGCAGATGCAAAGAGCTGCTGACAGCTTCCTGTGTGTGTGAGGAGCTTCCCAAACCCACCAGCAAAGAAGAAGCAGACGGAGACAAACAACGTCCTCTGTGCCGGTGGGGACGGGATGCTCCTCGTCCTCTCGGCTGGTGGGTGGAGCGGGTGGTGTCGGGGGGGGGGGGGGGGGGGGGGAGGGGGGCAGGGAGGACGTAACCGTACTCGCTGGGTCTCGGACTCACTGGGGTGCTGAGAGTGGTTCAGTGGTCTGTGGTGGGTCTGGGTCTTCCAGGGATGATGGGTTGGTTGACGTCCAATCTCAGCTGCACCAGGAGTGAAACAAAAGCATGGAGGAGTCCTGCCCTGTGAGAGACAAACACAAGAGATGAATACTTTTAACTCAACTATACAATCTTTACATTATTGTGTTGAATCTGGCCTCCAATGATGGAATCGTATTACTGATACTCTTGTAGTCTTAGTGAGGGATTACTTACTCAGCCCACTGAAAGAAAGGAGACCGCCACTCTCCATCTGGTCCTGTGGTCCTCCATCCTTCTCATCTGGTCCTGTGGTCCTCCATCCTTCTCATCTGGTCCTGTAGTCCTCCATCCTTCTCATCTGGTCCTGTAGTCCTCCATCCTTCTCATCTGGTCCTGTAGTCCTCCGTCCTTGTCATCTGGTCCGGTGGTCCTCCGTCCTTGTCATCTGGTCGGGAGTAAACACATCTTCTCTGTCGTCAAGGAGATCCTGGATGTTGAGTCTTCCACGTTGCTTCTGAGGAGGTTGGTGCAGTGTGTAAAATCCTGAAGGTCTGTTACAGCGATCGATACCTGAGTAAAAGAGACTTGGAGACTTTTTTTCTTCACGTTAGTGATTTTTACCATACCTGGTACAGCCACTGTCACCTAACTATGAAAGAGTAAAATGAACAATCTTTGAATAACTGGTCAGTGAGACTTTCAGGCAACTTGTGTTAATGTTGTTATTAAGTGTTGACTTACCTTTTATTTGTCTGGTAAAGACATCTATACTTTATAAAGAAAAATACACAATAACAAGCATTTATTGTTAACTTACCTCTGGTTTCTGCATCTAGCATCATCAGCTATTATTCAAAAGGAAGATCAACAAAGAAGAGATATTTAAAAGCTTTGCTGCAGGATTGCCAGACGCAAAGGTTTCGCAATCCTGCAGCAAACAGGCTGTTGGTCTCAATCCGAGTTGCTGCATAAAAAGGTCATAGTACAGCATTTACATTTTTTTATTAAAAAGCCATAGTATAGTATGTCAAAAAAATGTATTAAAGTCAGTGTATCATGTCGAAAGTCATAGAAATTCATAGTATAGTCTGTTTAAAATAAGTCATAAAAAGTCAGAGTAATATGTCGAAAAAAGTCACAGGTTAGTCTGTCAAATATTCATAAAACGTCATAGCATTGTATGTCAAAAAAATGTATCGTATGATATGTCAAAACAAGTCATAAAAAAGCCACAATATAGTATTTCGGAAAAAGACATCCTGGTCATCACACGTATTTGGCCTGAGAAAGAACTTCAGAAAAAAAGAAAATACAGATCTTTGGGAGAGCTGTACAAAAAATAAGCTGAAGAGCATTAATGTAGACAATATAATTTTGTAAAGAAAAATTAAGATATGAACTCCACGGAAACGATGAAAGAATCCGGTTCGGTGAATATTCCTGGGCAGTTAGGAAAACAACATCCCACGAACTGTCAGCTGTTTGATGCAACCTTGGTAAATACTCATAGACATCAAATGACAGTGGACATAAAGCTTGCCCTGAATACATATGTTATTTGATATTAGCTTGAAAGCCTCTGTGGACAAAGTCAGAAATAGTGGTAAATATTTGGTACATGCAGAAATTAACAGGTGACACACAAAACAGGACCCATCAGCCTTGTCAGCACACTCAATCTGGCCTTGGAAAGAACCTGGAAAAATAAATAATATCAAGCTTTGGAAGAGCTGTAGCATGAATGTAGACAATATAGTTTTCTAAAGATAAATACAGATAAAGAAGGGAGG